ATTGTCTCGTATTTTCGTATTGGAACGGGATTAGGAATTGCAGTTGCGGAGTTGGGACGGTGGGGGAGGGGGGGTGGGGGTTGGAGACTCTTGGCAAGATGAACCAAGACTCCCCGACCCCGCCCCCTCCCCCCTGCTTCTAAACAGTATAAACAATCCCTCTATCCTCTACCCCTAAATCCTAAATCCTAAGCACGCAGACAATGCTAAGCTAATTATACTCAGCGTATCAGTGTATGCCTATATGCCTATGCGCTGTGGAGCGTGGAAATCATTGCAAACTAGTTATGCTAAACATCATGAAAACACGTGTTTTTAGGTATGTTCACGACTCCAGGCCCCACAGCAAACCCTTCTGGGATTATAATGGTGCTGCAACAGCGGCATGCGACTTTTTCGTCACCTTGGGTTCGAAGATTTGGGCGGTATTTAAGCTTCAAGCACATGCACCTCACATGATTTGGCGATGTTGCCTCTCTGAGAGAGCATCCCTCTTGCGAGTTTCGCTTTGCACATGTTCAGTTCGCAGCGGTTGGCAATGTTTCTGTGGGTTACAGTCTCCAGATGCAGGCCGAAGCGCAGGCTTGGATTCAATGTGCCGCAGTTTTGCATTTTTGGGGGTTAGGTAGCTTGTGGACAGCTGCGGTAGGTTCGGTTTCAAAAATCCTCAGGACCTGCGGAATGGAGCAGGATCGCAGTCTTCACATTCTCAACAAGGGCCCGATAGCCCTACCGTGCTGGAGACCCTCAAAGATGGCTCAGGTGGTGGCGCGTACGTCCATGGATCCTTCGACCAGGGGCCCGGCAGCTCCGCGCACTTCCAGAACTGCCAGGGGTGGGAACAAGGAGCCCAGGCAGCAACTGATCTTGTCGGTTTATGCTTCAAAGGTAGATTTCACTAGGCATCTTTCTTCGCAGCAGAGTTTTTGCAGAGACTTCCGATGACAGCTCCTCTCCCAACTACAGCCCTACTGCGGTAGATAGATCAGCTTGGCAGATCTGTGTTACTTTCTTCAACACTGGCATCTGCTTAGGTGGTGGCCTCGCTGTCAAGCAGAATGTATTCCAGGACTTGAACACTTCCCTCTGGGCAGAGAGCTGCTCCGCAAAGAAGTCTGGACCTACGCCTGCAATTATGCGGTCATTCACGGGGGTAGGGGTCACATTGCCAACTTTCTCCATATCCTCTGCCGTTGTCTGAGCATCATCTCTTTTTTGTTTTGCTAAACTTCAATGAGGACAGCTTGACATTCCTGGGTTGTGACTCAGGATTTTCCTTGTTTGCGTAAAAGACAAACAAGCCTGATTTGGAGTGTTCTGTTCAGGATCATGCATTAAAAGGTGTGGCACATGTCAGAAGGAGGTATTGCTGTCCAGCGTTGAACAGCTTGGCTTGCAAAATGAGACTTGGGCTCCCCGCATGTTGGGAGCTTTTGGCACCTCCAATATTGTCGTGAAACAGACGGCTGGGTGCTGAGGTGGCGGCGCGCACGTCGGGGGAGCATTTCGCCAGAGTCCAGGCAGCTCTGCACGCTTCGAGAGCTGCACGGCCGGGGAGGAGGGAGCCGGGGCAGCAACTGTTTTTCGCAAGCTTGCATGTTTCAAAATGCGGAGCCATATCATGCTTCGCTGCGTTTTGTATGCGAGTACATGGTGCATGGCATGCAACTTGAAAACACACAGCGTGCTGAGGTGGTGCCCTCAGCGTGGAGGCGAGTGTCTCCCAGAATGAGAGCTCTCTTTTGGCGAACAGGTGCAAAACAGGGAACACCAGAGTCATGGCAGCAGCTGGGTTTCCCTCTGATCCAGAAGTACGCCAAGTTGTAAACAGGACCTCAGATCAAGTCACATCACAGGACCTCCATAAACCTCGCGCGTGTGGATTCTACATGACTACAAAAGACATTTGTGCTGGATGTGTCTTCAATCTTGATGCAGCAAACAGCACCGCAAGCAGAGCTTGTTTTTCAGAAGCGTGAGGGGCACAACAAGAAAAGTACTCAATTGGCCGGGGGGCGAGCCAATCTAACAGTGACACTCTAGATCTTGCATAAGAAGAGATAGCTTAGGTGGCAGCGTGAACGTCCAGGGAGCCTTCCGCCAGTCCGGACGCGCTGCGATGTTCCAGGACTGTCCAGCATTAAAGGCTGCATTTTTGTCTTTTTTTTTGTGCGATTGGCTTCTTGGCATACACCACTGGAAGGCTATTGACATCTGGCACTAGTATATGTATATGGTTACATGATGTTAAGTGCCTTGAGGCTAGAGTTCTCAGACGTGTATCTTCTTTGAAGGTCCTTGACTTGTGCAGTTGCACTGTATGAAATTCTTCTCGTCTCTCAGAGCTTTGTAAGTTAGGATCTGGTAGCATAATCAAGTCTGCTTTGCTGTCGTGTCTAGCCTGTTATATGGAGATGTTCTCATTCGGACCCTGGTTGCAGTTTGTGCTACTGCCAAGTGGTGGCGCTAGAAACTGTCCGCCTGGGACCGCCCAAGGACTCCGCTCTTGCCCTGCATTGCCGGGAAGGAAGGCTGAACCTGTCCGGGTACCATGAGGCGCCAAAATGGCTAGAATTTCAAGGGCAGCTTGTTGCAGCAGAGGGATGTACAGAGACTTCCTTGAAAACGTTGGGGCAGGAGTCCCAGTCACGAGACATGGCAGGTCAATGTCGATTTCGTGATGCAGGACAAATGCACCATTGCAGCAAACGGTGTCGGGCTTAGAATCAGGTCGGTGAGCAGCCTTTCCCAGCCTGCTTTTGGAGCTGCATTAGCCTTGGCAGGCGCGAAGTTGCAGCTCCGGGCCTCCCTCGCTTTCAACAACACTGTGAATGTCGATGGGGACCTTGAAGTTGTGGCCGCACCTCAAAGGCGCTCCAATGAAGCATGTATCCAAGTCAACGGCAGCCTCTATTTGAGCAAGGGCTCACGCCTGGGCATCAAGGGGTGCCGCGGTGTGGGCTATGGCGGCGGCCTCCGTGTTTCTGCTGACCTTCGCATCGACGGAGGGGCCGTCGAGTTCAGGGACTGCAAAGCAGAATCAGACTTTTGGAACAAAGGAGGAGGGGCCTATGTCGGAGGCCGGTTGGCTTCCGGGAGCTAATACGGGCATAGCAGTTTTGCCAGACTAGGTTCTTGCCTGTGAGGCAGCGTCGACCTTGCAGCCGGGAAATTCCGCGCAGAGAACTGTAGCAGCGAGGATCATGGAGGCCGGGCTCGCTCTTTGGGCATTGACGCAAAGTGAGAAAATGATGTTGGCTCAGCCCCATAGCAGACACACATCTTTGAGCTGCCCATCCGGGGTTAGCAGAAGTTCAACTGGCAGCTTGACAGCTCACGCTTAGGATCGTTCATGAGGGGATCTCCTGCAACAGTGAGTGTTTCCATTTTGAGGAGCGGGTTTTGTGCAGGGACCGTCGACATGGCAGCGGTACCAAGCTCAACCAAAGCATTGGAGCTGGCTAAAAGCAAGACGCAGCTCAACGCATTCCGCATCCTTAGGTCATGAGTCATTAGCTGGCACTCCATCCGCAGGCGCCCTCTACTCCGGAGGCAGTGTCAACGTGACTGGGAGTTCCGTGTACTTCGTCGGCATGAATGCACGCGCCGCCGGAGGCGCGGCCCGGGTGCTTGCAGTTTTCAGGTTTTGACAGCAATCACACCGCTGGTCTGGGTGGGAAGGTTGACCTGTGTGATACGGACGCAAGAGGAGAGCCTTGAAGCAAACACAGACCGCTTGACGCATGACACCTCTGTCAAAGGCTTGAACCTAGGCACGTTCATTTTCTAAAGCCCTCAGAACTTAGAAGGAGCTCTGACGTTTGCCCCCCTCAATTTGCAGGAGCCCTCTTTGCTGCGGACAGCATCAGTGTGACCACAAGTACAATCAACTTCTTCAATACCTCGGCAGGTCGCGAGGGAGGCATGGGCTCTGTCGGGGATTGCCGCTTGCATCCTTCAGATCTTGGGGTGGTTTGGAAGTACTCCTTGGCGTCCGAATTCGTTGCTTCTGAATAAGAGTAATTTCTGGCATTGCTAGTGCTGTGCTGCAGCAAACAAGCAGTCTTGGCTGGATGCAATGTGATAAGGCGACTGAAGATTCTGGCTGTGAGGCTGAGTGTCGGAAGCAAGTAAGAAGGAATGGATGTGAATGGAGTGCTGCTGCTGTTGCTGATTTAACCCTCAGCTGTCAACCTGTTCCCCAGCATGTTCATGTGTCTTCGTCTATCAATTGTGACAAATGGCAGGGAACTTATATCCATGTTGCCAGAGCCAGTGCAGAGTTCAAATTCACGGTTCAGCAGGCTGCAGGGCATAGATTTTTGGGGCTTAGGCTTTTTGCCTGCTGTTGGAGTCATTTTGAGCGTTAGCGTTGAATTGTTTTAGTCCCAGCTCCCATCCTTGATTTTGGATGGGCGTAGTGCATGACAACTATGACTGTTCTAGCCTTGAAGGACATTTGATGTGGCAGAGAAGTAGCTCAATGCCGGCAGCCTGTTGCAGTCCTGCAACCTTTTTGTCCTCAAAGCCCAGAAGCATCCAGAAGCATGCCGATACCAATCGAGTAATCGAAGCAGGAGCATTTCAGCCCGGCACAAATGCCTTACAGGCAACAAGGCATGTTGACAAAAGTTACCTTCCGACCCCTTTTCAAGACCCCCTGACACCTGGTCGGGGACTCGAGGGTTTCGTGCTACAAGCGAGGGGGAGAAGGCTAGGTGAAGGGGGTGCTACAGTTTGTGTCGGGTTTGTCCTGTTTTTTTT